CACACACTCTCTCTCTCTCTCTATATATATATATGTGTGTGTGTGTGTGTGTGTGTGTGTACAGATATATATATATATATATATATATATATATACCTACAAGAATGTGACTATAAATTCCAAAAAACAAACATAAAGCTAGGACAAAGTCAAGCCATATTTGTGGCTTTTAAATATAACATTTTATATTCATCTCCTATAATTCTTTAAAAATTACTTGGTTCCATGGGACCCTCCAGATATAAAAGGCTAGAGCAATAAATTTTAGACTGAGGGATTTTCTGTAATCTTTCTTCTCCTAATATTTACATCATTAGCTGGGTAGGTGGGAAGGGATGTTTGGGGTGAGGTGAATAGGATCTCCACCATCATTATTATCAGAAAATTTGTCATGAATAAATTAGATATCACCTACTCATGGGTGGCTTTGTTCAAAATGGTTTGAACATATGGCTTCTCAACATGAACATACCGTGATACCCCAGTGTCCCCATAGCAGAATAATTACTTGTTAAGCTAATGTTTAAGTTACGTGTATTATTTTGCAAGACCAGAGTGTAATAAATAAGCAGTATGGATAATGAAAGAGATTTATTTTAGACACAAAATTCTCAATTAAATCAGTAAATCCCTCCAGTCCCAGAATCTGGTCAAAGGAGTAACTATTGTTTTTAACCTGACTTTTCATGAAGATAATAAAAATATTTTTAAGAATAATTTAATGCACCCTCTGGAATGAGAGGTACATACATTTTACAATGCAGTTAATTCAAAGATATATACGTGCATACATGCATTAAATAATATGTGAATGCAAAGATGTTCTTAGTTATATCTTACTTTCTCATGTGGCTAAAGGCACTTGGAGCACCCTCTTCTATGATTAGTTGATCTTTATATGTTCACTGTTGTTCTTTGCTCATATCTATAACACTTTTTATACTAGAGCCTTCATTATTTGCAGGTTATTTGTAGCCTCTGCTAATGTGTGGCCAAAAAGCCCATTCTAAGTGGTACATCTTTTTCAGTTAATAGCTACAAAGAATTTATCCCTCTTATAAACACTGCAGAATTTCTGCTGACATTGTGTCTTTGCTCATAAACCTCTTCTTTGTCCTGGGTATGCTTCACCTGTGTTTCCTCTAATAATCCCGTCCCTGTGACCTTCTATCTTAGGATAAGCCAATAGATTTTTACAGTTTTTATTAAAAAAGATCCACTTCCTAGGTGAAGTTAGACCTAATCATGAGTTTGTTAGAAAGAATGATGGATATTATAACACATTTTAGCCAAAGGATTAATAACATTGATTATACCCAATACTCCAACTTTTATCATAGTGTCATCATTGTAACCCAGAGTACTTGATAATTATTATATACAAACTAAAAATAAATGATTTTTATAATGAATGAAGTAGTGTTACTTTTGGGCCAAATGATGTTCAAAAGTGTTTGTGATCTCTTTTAAGAATGCAAACAAATATCAGCTCAATCATTTTAAACAGTGGTTGGAGGAGAACTCGTAGGGCTCTAAGGCTATACTGTGTCAGGCAGGTATGGTTTTAAAGCACACTGTAGCATGCAAACAATGCATGCCACTGCTGATCTTTCACCCCTCTTTCCCATTCATCTCTTCAATCCAAAATGCTCAGTGTCTCAGGAATTCCTACTGTGGCTCAGAGTTCCTGATTTGATGTCAGACATGAGCAGTTTCATGTGTCTCTTGCCACCTTCTCACCACCTTCGCTCTGTTGGCGTTATGCTTGTCATGGTGATCAGTGGTAGTGTGTTTATCCTTAGGGCCTGGAGTAAGAATACAAGTGGAGGCTTACATATTGTGTGGCGTATTATTTACTTATAAATCAGGCAACTGTTATTCAATAAAATGAGTTCTATCTCCCATTTTGACAGATATATCTTTATAACAACCTGGAAAGCCAAGTGAAATGTTAGAATTTTTGGACTCCTCAGGATTATGGTGATATAGAGAGAGATGACCTTCAGCTTGCAGTCCTTACATCACCTAGTTCTATCCATATTCTGAGAGGCCTTGCACAGAATTGAATGGACACATTGACCCGCACATCCAGGATCTATGCACCCCCCCCTTAAAGATCTGCCCCTGGACCATCCCATCCTTCCTTGGTATACTCACATTGGTGGCACGGTCTATTGTCTGGTGGGCAGAACACAACTGAGAAAGATGATATCATTGACCCTAAAGAATGATGAGGAGCGAGGAGTGGGCTTTTGAGGAATGACATTCTGGGCTCACAGAGGTTTGCAGCATGATCTATCTAGAAGAGAGGATTGCAGCCTACAGATAGGCATCCTCTGGACTCCTCAGACCACCCAGTGGGGAAGGTACAGCCGGTGAAGAGACACAGTGTTTAACAAATATTTATTGGTCTCTTACTGAGTAACAGTACTGATCTTGTTACATGGGACACAGGAGTGAGCAAATTAAATGGTTGCACTTGTAGTGCTTATATTCTGGGAAAAGGTGAGAAAGACTATAAATATTAAATGTGGCAAATATATAAAGTATACAGTATGTTAGGGAGTGAAAAGTATTGTAGAAACAATAAAAATGAAAGTGGGTAAAAGTGGGAGGGTCGCCATATTAAATAGATCAATCAGAGGTGATCTCAACTGAGAAGGTAAAACTTGAGCAGAAACCTGATGGTAGTGAGAAAATCAGCCAAGTAGATATCAAGAAGGAGAGAAACTCAGGCGCTTAAAATTGCACTCATCACCTGGAGGTAGGACCATGCTCACATACTGAAAGAACGACAGAGACCAGCAAAACCAGGAAGAGTGAGCAAGGTGTCAGAGTCAGAGAAAGAAATATGAACAGGTCATATAGTACAGAGTTGTCCATTAGAAATGCAGTGAGAGCCATAAAAATGTAATTTTTAATTTCCATGTAGCCACAATATAAAGGTACAAAGAAACAGGTAAATTCAGCTTTAATAATGAAGCTAATATAAATCAGTTTATCTAAAATGTTTTCATTTCAACATGTAATATTTGAAATTTATAATATGTTTTATACTGACAACACATCTCATTTCATACTAACCATATTTCAGTTGTTCACTGGACATCTATGACTAGTGGTTTCTCTACTGGACAACACAGATATAGGTTTTGACCCATTATTTACAGAATTTTATTACTCTGAGTGACTTGGGAGACATTTCAGTTTTAAGAAGTGTCCTGACTCGATTTATGTTTTTAAAAGATCAGGGCTAGGCTTAACTGAGAATACACCAGAAGGCTCCAAGAGCAGAAACGATTATAGTGATCTTGATAAAGAATGATGGTGGCTCAGAGGATACCAGTGGATGTCATACATGCTTGGATCCTTAATCCTTTTAAAGATAGAACACATGGGATGGATTGCTTTTGGTATGTGAATGGGATTCAAGAGTGTCCCCAAGACTTTGGCCTGAATAATAGGAAGCATGAACTGACATCAGCTAAGGTGACAAAGGCCGTTGGTAGGATGGGGAAGGTAGACAAATGTTAAGCTTTGTGCATGTGTATCTGAGGAGACTGTGAGGCATCCAAGTGAAGATCCAGAGTAGGCAGTTGGATATGAATCTGGTGTTTAGGAGTTTGGAGGTAATAATAGTTTGGAGATCATCAACCTTAAAATTGGGTAGGACAAGGGGATAAGAGTAGACAGAGAAAAACAGAGGACCAAAGACTGAGCATGGGACATCTGATCTAAAAATAGTCTGAAATCAGCATTAAATAATATCATTTTTTTCACACTTTTGAATTATATATATATTTTAATTTAAGACCTATATTTATTACTATTCTTATATGCATTTGGGGCTTCCCTTGTTGCTCAGCGGGTAAAGAATCTGCCTGCAATGTGTGAGACCTGGGTTTGATCCCTGGGTTGGGAAGATCTCCTGGAGAAATGAACGGCTACCTACTCCAGTATTCTGGCCTGGAGAATTCCATGGATTGTATAGTCCATGAGGTTGTAAAGAGTTGGACTTGACTTTCATTTATATGCATTTTATAAAAAACTATAGCTTTAGATGAAGTCTAAAAGTTGACTCGTTCGAAAAGACCCTGATTGGGGGCAGGAGGAGAGGGGGACGACAGAGGATGAGATGGCTGGATGGCATCACCGACTCGATGGGCATGAGTTTGAGTAAACTCTGGGAGTTTGTGATGGACAGGGAGCCTGGTGTGCTGCGATTCATGGGGTCGCAAAGAGTTGGACACAACTGAGCAACTGAACTAAACTAAACTGAAAGTCTTTTTGTGATTTTTTTTTTTTTGCTTTAAAATATCTCACAAACCTTCAAATAACTAACCTAGACAACTCCATTTAAACAGCATACAGTCAAAATAAAAATTGTGTTAATAATTAAATCAGAAACCATAATCAGTATCTAATGCATATTGTGTGTATCTAATGCGTATACACACAATATGAATTATATATATATGTGTATATATATATATATATAGCCAGAGATATATTGATACAAGGCAATTGTTCTTTGATTTCTATAAAATTAAACAATAATATAACAGTGTGAAATCTGTCCCACAGTCTACAGATTAATGCAACTTTATTTTGTGATAAGCTTACCAGTTTATTTTTTAAATATAAAGATTGATAGTTATGTGTTCTTATCTAATTTTAGTCTGTCAGAGAATGAGATCTTTATTCTTTTAATTATATCCATATCTCAGACATGAAGGGTGCTTCATACAATAAAATTCATTATTTTTACTGTAAAGCACATTATTTACTTAAAAGTAAAATACAGCCCACTCTTCAAATGAGAGCCTAACCCTTGTGATCTTGTGTGTCAAGGCAATTATTTATAATATGGTATGGAAATTAGTATATTCAATTAAAAGCTGAAAATTAGAATTAAATAACTCAGTTTGATCTAAATGACTACATAAACATACTGACAGTTTTAAATTGTTTGACACAGGCCATCATTTGTGTCTTTTCAGTCTATACGAGAAGTCACAGGCTACGTGTTGGTTGCTCTTAATCAGTTTCGCTACCTGCCTCTGGAGAACTTACGCATTATCCGTGGGACAAAGCTTTATGAGGATCGATATGCCTTGGCAATATTTTTAAACTACAGAAAAGATGGAAACTTTGGACTTCAAGAACTTGGACTGAAGAACTTGACTGGTAAGAAAGCACACAAAATAGCAAATATACTTATATTATCAATATAATGTGATAGACACACACAAATGTGTACATGGTCTCTGCAGCATGTGTTACATTGAGAAAATTTACAAAGCATTGAAATGCATATTAACACTACTTATTCATTTTGTGAGAAATGATGCCCTACATTGCCCCAGTTTTATGTACAGATATTGTAAGTGCAGTCTGAAGGATAGCATATGACTATATCTCATCTGAACAGAAGTACACTCTAAGGAAATGCTCAGTGACTGAAAACAGATATGAAGCAGGTTTAAGAATGCTGTGTTCAGTAGTCTCAGGTGAACAGTGGACCATATCATCAAATCTCTGCAATAACATCCTAACTCTCACTTTCGTTAAAGCTCAGTAAATACACAAACCATTATATTGGATTCCATTAATCTAGCTTTTTGTACAATCCCTTATTTTTGGAAAACATATCTAATGTATTAATACAGTTTTGATTTCTCTTATTGAGCAACTCACTAAGTGCCATAAGTAATTCTTCCTCAGAAAGCTTTAATCATCAGTGATTTTTTTCCCCCTAAGATTGGAATTAGATAATTGCTAACAACTTAAAATTATCATCTTGCTACAAATAATTCTGGGCAGGATTCTTTGTTATAAGCTGGCCTTTGCAATTCAATTGATGTCTTTTCAGTTCATGTAGTTCAGAGTTCATACAGGCTATGGTGGAGGCTATTGGTACAAGAATTCTAATCATGAATTTTACTATATATGCCTTCAACCAAAAATGTGCTAATTGGTAATTACATTAGAGTGGGAGAAAGGAGTTTGAACTATTAATTAAACCTGAAATATATTTTTTGTGTGTCTTTGAGTTCACGTAGTGGTCATGTTTCTTGATACTGGAATTTGAAATATTTTAGAAGTATTGCCTTAAAATATTAAGAAACAAATAAAAAAAGAAACAAATAAGATTAATATTGTCAGGTTATTAAAATTATATGTTTCTATATTTACAGAGGACATAAAATATATAATTTTAAGTTAGAAGTAGCTTCATAGTTATCCAGACGTGAACTAAAATTGGAATATCTTTGATGAAGAAATGAGTGATAATTATGTTATTTATTTTGGACATGATTGCTATAGACTTCATGACATAATGGTAAATGCAAATTGCTCTGAATTTATATCCTTCATCAACATTTTTACCTTTTTTTTTTCTTCAAAAATACTTTCCTTACAGAAGAGCAGGGTATTTGACTAAATTGCTACTTGCATGGAAATAATGATAGGAGGAAGAATTTTGGAAATAGAGAAAAATTGAATGATTGAAATTAGGAATCCAAAAATAACATGATCCAATTAAAACTTGCCAAAAAAGCATTGTATTTTCTTCTTGCTTTTCCTCTGATTATATTAAAGAAAAAATTGAATAAATTTATTTTCAAAATCTTATAACATATGATTATGTTATTATTCCACAATATATGCTATTTGAAGAATCTTCTCACAAAGAAAATTAGTCTTTAAAGAGTTATTCATTTCCACATCTAATTTACCTCAATACTATTAAAATATAAAAAGGGAATTATTTAGTCACAATTATGCAACATTTGAATATATCTTTTCTGTTAGTGAGCTTCCACTATGTCTTGTCATTGTGACAGTTGTCTTACTTATGATTGACTAGTTTAATATAAAGATATAGCATTATTATTTTAAAAATATTATTCCCTAAATTGCCAGAAAACCTTATGATATTTTCCTGTGTAGCAGTAAAGATGGGAAATTAACAAATGAGTAAATTAGTTATTTGAATGTTTAGAAAAGATAAGTATTTGTTCAGCAGTAATTATTAATTTCTTATTTGAATATGAATTAATGAAAAGTATAGTAAAATAAATGGAAAATTTAGATATTTTGGAAAATTTCCAGATATTTTAATATATGTATTTTATATGAATGATGACTACATGCCAACATTATTCCATGAGTCAGTCTAGAATCATTGATCACATTTTAGATAATAAGATCAATAGTGTTACTCTTATTTTGAAAATCAGAAGTTTTACAGTAAGTACCACTGTGTTTGTGTATAAGAATATATAAGGAAGGATAGAAGACTTGCAACTATTTAACTCTTCATCAGAAAGGAACTGGGATAAAATTTGCTCTACAGTAAAATCTTAGAGTTTAGTCTTCTAAGTAACTTGATCAAAGTAGTAAGCAAACATTGCAGTTCACTTTAGGTAAGATTGTTTTTGTGTTTTGGAAAGAGCTTTCTTTTATTGTTGATTGTTATACAAAAAAAAAAATTGATATATCCTGTTATATTAAGGGTGAAACTACTGGGGCTAGCCCTAATTTTAGACTTAGGGTTTGCATAATGTGAAGGAAAATAGAAAACCTGCTAAGTAGCTCCATACCTCATTGCCTAACTGCAATAGTGAGTGAAACTTTTAACCCAGTTCTTAAGGGGCCTGCAGTATCAGCATCACCTGGGTACTTATTCTATAAATTCAGATTCTTGGGCTTCACCCGAGACCTAATGGATGGTAAATTCTGGGGCTGGGGCCCACCAATATGTATATTAAGGACCCCTCCAATATTTCTGATAACTATTAAAGTTTGAGAAACAATGTTCTAATTAATTAAAGATACTAAGAAATGATAGAAAAATATCTAGTTAGCCTCTTCACCTTTACTTGATCTAAATACTTTTCATTCATTTATTATCTCCTGGAGAGAAGAGAACAAAAAGTACAGACATGTTTATGATTGAATGACAAGAAATATACTCTCAGTTGATATAGGAATGAAAAGAACACACTGGAAACCTGGATGGAAGTAAAAGTCACTCGGTCGTGTCTGACCCTTTGTGACCCCATGGACTATACAGTCCATGGAATTCTCCAGGCCAGAATACTGGAGTGGGTAGCCTTTCCCTTCTCCAGGAGATCTTTCCAACACAGGGATCGAACCCAAGTCTCCCACATTGCAGGCAGATTCTTTACCCGCTGAGCCACAAAGAAAGTCTTGGGTGGGAAAGTTTGTATAAAAGAGTACAGAGATGAGCAAGATGCTGGGAATAAACTTTCTTCCATATTACCATTTTGTCTAATATCAATTTTATATAATGGTAAACCATTGCAAGGACAATAATAATTTATCACGAATTTTCCTTTTAAGCAAGATTTTCTTTTTGAGCACTTTCAACAAAATAAATAACAAGTACTATTGTTATAGCAAATAATTTTGAGACTGAGATTTCAAAGCTTTTTGATATATTCATATTTTGTGTTTCTCCTGAAATCATTTTTGCTGTGTTGACTTTAGATTAATATTTAGAATGATATGCCTTTATAATAGTACATATGCTCCTGCAAACTCTTTGTGTAAAAGGGATAATTGGTTAACATGAGGACTGTCATATACAAGGGTTAATAATTGGATACCACTTACACATATATAAATTAACTCCTCACCTTATGCATTTTTATTAGTTTAGCTTGATGCTCATCAGAAGCTATTCCTTGGAGGATAAACATTACTACAGACCTCACTTAGCTACTTTTGTTATGGTTGCGACCAAAAACAACCATACTTAAACATGTTTTCTGGCTAAACAGAAAGACTCATCTTATTCCTGCCACTCACCTTTCCCTGGTCCATTGTGAATGAGGTGGGAAAGTGCGAAGGGTCAGGCCCCTAGACTAAGCATATGATGTACGATCCAAAATGGAGTAAGGGACTTGGCGAGCTCTCAGTGCCCTGTTACACTGATCGTCCTTTTCTGGTCAAGGGAGAGCACGGACTGCCCTCAGTGTTTCCCATCAGACACATGTTCACCTCCAGGTCATGGGGAATGACATCGCTGCGTTAGAGGACAGAGGCAGGGAGAACGTTTTATTACTTCCCCAGTTAAGTTCCCTTGCATGTGGCTGTGGTTCTTCTTAATCATTCTCAGTGATGATGTTCTCATGATTTTATCAGCTCCTTCTTAAACAAACATTCATATTTGAAATTCAAATTAATGTGTAATATATTTAAAACCTTAAGTTGGTGAGCTCCTACTTAATTTAGTCACCTGTCTAGCCAAAATATAAAGGTTGCTTTATTATATGGGACATAAAAACCAGTCTTATTTTGCTCTCTTATAATTTGTAAAATTACCTGGTCTGTTAGTAATGGCCAACAGTATGATACAATGTAATCTATATTTTATATTGTAGATATGAAGGAATCTTTGAGAAATATCTAAGGGTACTTAACATCTGTTCTAGTATCTATATTCTTTTTTATAATGATGATAACCTAGTTACAAATTTAATATATGAATTTGTTTTTTAACGCCAAATTTCAAATTGAATATTTAAATTTTCACTTTATGAATTAGAGAATATATGTTTTGAGTAGGTGAAATTTGGGATGATACAAATACAAAATTTCTATTTTCCAAGTGTTAGCCAAATATGCTACATGTTTTCAGACTTATCAGTTCAGTTCAGTTCAGTTGCTCAGTTGTGTTCAACTCTTTGCGACCTCGTGCACTGCAACACACCAGGCCTCCCTGTCCATCACCAACTCCCGCAGTTTACTCAAACTCATGTCCATTGAGTCGGTGGTGCCATCCAACCATCTCATCCTCTGTTGTCCCCCTCTCCTCTCGCCTTCAATCTTTCCCATTACCAAGGTCTTTTCAAATGAGTCAGTTCTTCACATCAGGTGGCCAAAGTATTGGAGTTTCAGCTTCACCATCTGTCCTTCCAATGACTGTTCAAGACTGATCTCCTTTAGGATGGACTGGTTGGATCTCCTTGCAGTCCAAGGGATTCTCAAGAGTCTTCTTCGGCACTCAGCTTAGACTTATAGATTCATATATTAATGTCTGTAATATATACGGTTATTTTAATTGGTTAACTGTGTACTGAGTCATCTTAATTATTTGAGACATGGACGAAATCAAAAAGTAAAATGCTAAAGTTATTTTGAGGAGCCCACAATAA